TCCAAATAAGTGAAAAGCCAGAATGGGGGTCTATGATCTTATTTGATATTGCATCAACTTGCTGACGTAAGTCATAAGATTCTTAACATATTATTACTTTCTTTTTTGATAAGTTAACACATTGTTACTTGCTATGGGAGTAAGTAATTATGGATTTATATATAATCAACTCACTTAACGAGAAATCTATTTATTGTAATCACATGCAGCATTTCCCCCAAGTTCCAATCTGCCACGTGTACATGATTTCGATTATTTATCACATCCTTACCTTAGAATTAAGCAAGATACTCATTAATACATGGAGCTATATCAAAAAAAAAAAAATATTTAATGTATTTCTATCAACCTTACGAGAAATTTTTCATTGTGTTTGGAACACGAACGGTACATCACGTGTTATTATATAAGTGATGGAAAATTTATTTCTTAAGTTGTTAATTTTTTTAATACAAATATCTCATCACTTGTATGGTGACACATAGTGTACCACTCCATGTTCCGGACATAGTAAAAAATCTATCCAACCTTATCTACTCAATCATCTTATACTATTTCTTGTTTACTCATTTTGTATTCTTTCTAAATCAACTAACGGAACAATCGCCCTTTAACAAAAGGCGAGTGAACTATTATTCCGCATTTTCCTAAACAAAAAGTGAGGGAGGAACTGTCACACTAATTGAGTAGTTAGGGAAATGTAAAGAAGGAACGAGACAATAACAACACTCTTAATTAAAAGTACAAAATAAGTTGTAACAATTTAATTAGGTTTTTCACCAAACACTGCAATTAGGAGAGTAATTCGGGTAAACCCGTTTTCTCAAATCGACGGGCAAGATGGAATGGCAATGTCGTCATTTCAAGTTTCAGCAAGCGCCCTCGTAAAGCCCCTCTATATATTCTTGGAAATATAACGCCATTCTCGCATCTTCTTCTCACGCGTGCCAAACCGGCTCTCCCGGTCACCAAACTTGCGAGTGCGACCGCGTCATTCTCTACCTCTTTATCTCTCTTTGCACCTTCTTCTCCGACAGTCGAACGCAGTCTTTTCAGTTTTCCCAGTTTCAGAGAGAGGGAGCAGGGAAGAGAGATAAAGTAGAGAGAGAGAGAGACATTCATGCCGAAACAGAAATAAAGTTTTTACCAGCCATGGCTTCTCCGTCCCCTCACATCTCCAAGATCTGCAACTCCCTCTTAAAATCACCAGCCCTCATCGGCGGCAACCACACCACCGCCCGATTCTGCTCCCGCTAAACCAAAACCCCAAAAACCCCCAATACGATTTCTTCAAATTTATACAAATTCAATTTATTTTTTTATTTCGATTCCGAAAACAGATAGAAAAAGATTCTTTTTTTTTTCCCCAAGTTTTTGTAGAGAAAAAGGTTTAGCTTTTGCAGAGATGGAACCCGGCGCCGCCGCGGCAGGCAAGCCAGGCCTACTGAAGAACGTTTTTATACGGTTCTTTTTGTTCGGCGTTTTGATCGTGCTCTGTCGCTTCGCCTACGTCGTCACCGTCACCGGCGAGTCGTGCGAGCTCGGGAACTTCTGCTTCTTCTCTCTGCCGGAAAATCTCAACTTCGTTATAGCGAATACTGGCGGTTCGGCCATCGCCGCAAAAAAAGAAGCCGTTCCGTCGATTTCGGTGGGGTCCACGAAGCCCGAACTCTACACCAGCAAGGACTGGATCAAGGCTGTCCATTTCTACTCCGCCGTGTTCCAGGATCTCATGTCTCAGGGCTTCCTCTCCCGGAAAGCCAAGTCGCTCTGCGTCGAGACCCCCGCCGGGCACGACGTCTACGCCCTGAGAGAGTCCGGCGTCAAGGGCGCGGTCGGTGTTTTCAAGAAAGCGTCGAGACCTTTGGTAATTCCCGGCGAATCGCACCGTTTGCCGTTCGCTGACAACAGCTTTGACTTTGTTTTCTCCGGCGGAGGACGGCTCGAGAAGTCGCCAAAGCCGGCGGATGTCGCCGCCGAGATCGTGCGGACGCTGAAGCCCGAAGGGTTTGCGGTGGTCCACGTCGGCGCGAGAGACACTTACAGCTTCCATTCGTTTATTGAATTGTTCAATTGCAGCAAGCTCGTGACTTCGCGGGACATCGACGGCTTCGATCCGCCGATGCCGAAGATTCGCGAGATGGTTTTGAGGAAGGATTGCGGCGAGAGTGAGGGTTTCGGTCACAGGGCCGAGAACCCTGGTGGCGGTGCTGGTAATAAGTGCTCAGTTCCTGGGCATAAGATGGATCTCATCAGAAAGGCCGAGCCTTTGATTGAAATAGAGCCGTTGAAGCCGTGGATTACTCTGAAGAAGAACATACAGAACGTGAAGTACCTCCCGACAATGGCGGATATAAGCTTCAAGAAGCGGTATGCTTACGTGGATGTCGGAGCTCGGAGCTATGGCTCCAGCATTGGCAGCTGGTTCAAGAAGCAGTACCCGAAACAGAACAGGACTTTCGAAGTTTTCGCCATTGAAGCCGATAAGACTTTTCATGACCAGTACAAGTTGAAGAAGGGGGTCACATTGCTGCCTTACGCAGCTTGGGTGAGGAACGAGACATTGTCCTTCGAGATCAATGGCGACCCGGGTGAGAAGGTGAAGGATAAAGGGAGAGGAATGGGGAGGATTCAGCCGGCGAATCCAGCCAGTGGGGGGGTTTAACGGAGAGGTGGATCGGATTCAGGGGTTTGATTTTGTGAATTGGTTGAAGAACACCTTTTCGGAAAAGGATTTTGTGGTGATGAAGATGGATGTGGAAGGGACGGAATTCGATTTGATTCCGAGGCTTTTCGAGACAGGGGCAATCTGTTTGATCGACGAGGTTTTTCTCGAGTGCCATTACAATCGGTGGCAGAGGTGTTGCCCCGGCGAGAGGAGTTCCAAGTATGAGAAGAGTTACGGTCAGTGTTTGGACCTGTATGCTTCACTTAGACAAAGTGGAGTTCTTGTTCATCAATGGTGGTAGTAACATTGTTGCAGGTTCTTTGATTCTAGCAGGCTTTTTCTTTCTTTTTTGTAATTTTGTTTTGCAAAAGAAAAAGGAATAACTTTAGAATTCGTTTGTTTTTAGAATTGCAGCTGAAATAAAAAAAAAAAAAAATTTAAAATGAAGATTTCATTTTCTTGTATTGATTTAGTTAGAACTTTGGTACTATTGCATTTTGACTTTCCGGCGGGCGCAGTGCGTGATTGTTTCGGGATAACGGTGAATGATTGTTTCGGAATAACGGTGAATGATTGTTTCGAGATACCGGTACAATGCTATTTCGCTAACATTATTTGCCTTGGGGAACTATTGCATTTCAACTTTTCAGTGTTGTGGCGAGTAATTATCTTGAGATACCGTCACGCTATCGTCTACATTGCAGGAAAGTTCATTCGGCTCCTCGAAAATGGTGGAGGAGGATCTTCTCTTCTTTTAATTTCTTTTTCTTTTTCTTCCTTTCTATTTGAACTGTTACTATTAGGTTACGTCAACATTTATATTGATTTTTGGCATAAATGTCAAAATGGTCCTTATGTTATAGTCATATGGTCAATTCGATGCCATTGTTTTCGATTTGGCTAATTTAGTTTGTCTCTGTTAGTCAATTAAGGATATTTCATTCAATCTCTTTTAAAAAATTCATAAGAAAAATCATATGAGAGATAATTACGTTTTCTCTTTACAAAAAAATGCAAATTAATGAGAAATAATAAGATAAAAAGTAAAATGTGAGAAAATGAAAAGAAAGAGAATGTAAATAAGAGGGGACATAATTTTACTCTGAAAATGGTTGGACAGAAGATGTGATAACGTCTCAAAAGCATTTTTGGGTAATTTCATGAAAGTTTGCAAATTGGTTTTGAGATGATTCAAAGTGTAAAGTATTGTGGACCATAAAAGTCAATTAATAAATGATATTTGTTTCCTTTTTAAAAAGTAAATAGCTTGTTTGTTAAGTTTCAAAGTATTTGGAAACAGAATCATTGCAATAGGACCCCTTGACAGACAATTAAAGGGATACATCCATGGAGTTTGCGGCTCCTTTTGGAATTGTGAAATGTTGCTATAGGTAATAGGTGTCATCCCACATATTTTTTTTCTTTTGGAATGCATAAAAGAGACGAGTCACGCAGAAGAGGGACCCTCCTCATGTAAAAGATCTGTTAAGAGATCAAGAGGTTCGTCAAATCAAGAACGAAATCATTATAAAGAAGTGATGTGTTGAAAAGGTGGTGCATTGCTTCATTCGCTTGGTGGCGGATATGGATGGTGAAATCTCCATTGATCTGGTCTAGCAAAGTCTTTGCATCCTCAACAGTAGGGCCAACAGGCGAGAGGTTGAGGGATTGCTCTTGCAAAACTAAGACAATTTGGTGAGAATCGCTTTCGAGAATAAGGTTTTAACAACCCCTGTTAATAGCCAACATGAGGCCCTCTCTAACTACCAAAGCTTCTAAATGCATGGTACTGCTTGGTTGCAGGAGGGAGAATGATTTATATGTAATGGGTACATTACTTTGTGACGTTCTGCTCTAATATATTAACGTATGATTTCAAGTGACGATAAATTTATTTCATATAAGTTGTTTTCCCACGAAAGACTATAAATTGAGCCTTAAAATAGGAAGTTTGATCAGACAAGATATTTACTTATTTGAACCAATCATTGGGTCATCGACTTGAGATTTGATAATTTTTGGTTCAATTTTGCAATTGCCGGCAATTTGTTTCTGAAATGGTTGTGCACATGGAATTAGGAATTCAGCACATGTTTTGCTTGATCAGGATAGAGTTATAAGCCTGCCAAACAACCAGTCCACGTTGCCCTGAATAAGTGACTCCTCTTCTCTTGATCAATTTGGTCAGCCCAAATATTACATCATTTCCATAGTTCTCAAGTGGTGGTTACGCTCACCATCATATTTATAATTGTTGAATGAGTTTAAATTTTGAAATTTGTGTCTATCTATTACACAAATCTCAAGATTTAAATTCATCTAACGACAATTAATGGAAGGTAAGCATCACTATTACTTAAAGGTGGTGAAGAAAAATATTCCCGTATTTAATGGTTATGACCCGAACACATTTTAATGGTGAGTTTCACCCTTGGTACAAACTATACATGATTGGGCCATGACGGTTTTGGCAAGGTTAAAAATAGATTGTACTTGTTACTAGAGGAAGTCTAATTAGTTGGTCGCGCGAAGCTAGGAAGTTCCTTCGCACCACCCTGTTAAGGTGGAAGCTGTTGGCTCGAGCCCCTTTAGTCCCGACAGAGAAAATGAGACACACTTGTAAGTCGAGATACGTACTACTAGAGTTGTGAAGACTAAACATTTACATGATATAGTGTTTGTTGCTACTCAAGTATATAACTATAGATTTGTTACATTAACGAATATCTTTTGAATAGGATGGTTGTAAGCTAAACTAATTATTATATGGTTCGAACCATCTGATTGACTAAGTCAAGGAACAATCTGTTTAAGCCCAATTTTATACTGTTGTCAAGGGTGGAGCTACCATGGGCCTAGGGGGGCGGATGCCCCTACTGAGATTTTTCTGATGTTAGCATGCTGCTCAAACTCATCTGGTTCTGCAGCAGCAAAGCCCCCACTGCGATTTTTTGGTTCCTCCGATCTGGTTCTGCAGAAGCAAAGCTGGGTGTTATTTTTTTTTTCAAAACCAGGCCAAAGGCAAAATGAACCTCAATTCCTCCGATCTGGTTCTGTAGAAGCCTGATCTTATTTATTTTTTTTCAAAACCAGGCCAAAACAACGTCGTTTTGGTCCTGGTAAAAAAAATTAAAAAAATGTAAACGAAACGGCGTCGTTTCGTATATGTTTTAAAAAAAAAAAGTTATGTTATAGTGGGGGACCGCTTGTCCCCACGGTCCTAGACTCCCATTTCCATCCCTCCCTTTGTTTTCGTTGCCCTTTGCGCCGCACCAATCAGAGAGCAGCTTGGTGCTGCTCTGTCTGTCTTCCCCCAACCAACACTTTGAAATGGAACGGAACAGGAGCAAAGTTGCTCTTCCCAACCACGCCAGCAGCCAGCCACTCCAACTAGCCACTCTCTAGTCTAGCCGACATATATATATATTTAGGTAAATTTTTTAATTCCTAAATCTATAATTCCTAACCCTAATTAATTATTTAAGATGAATTTTTGTTTAATTGGTATAGAAATATAGAATCATATGGATATGGTATGCACTAATATGATTATTGACTTATTGATTATTGATTATTGATATGAAATATATGATTATTGATGAATGAAATTACGAATTCTATGAATATGGGTATACATTTATTCATATGATTAGTTGAATTAAATGTTTATTTGTTGAATAATTTGTATGCTTATTGGTATTGGTTAATTGAATTGTTGCCTTGGTTGGATATGGATTCGTTATTAGGCATTTTTTTTTTGGTTAAGAAAGCATATATATTAATATGGATAACATTGTCAACATCTCCAAGAAAACTCAATTCTACAGCTTAATTTTCCTTACAAGAAATATGGAGACACGCAAAGACGATTCAACCCTGCTTGGTTTGATGATTTTCCTACTTGGTTGGAATATAGTGTAGAAAAAGATGCTGCCTTTTGTCTGTGTTGCTACCTTTTTAAACCAAACATTGGAGAACAAACAGGTGGTGATTTCTTTGTTGGCGAAGGATTTTCTAACTGGAAGAAGAAAGAAAGACTTCTAACTCATATTGGAGGCGTCAATAGTGCACACAATCAAGCGTGGAGTAATTTTGAAGCTTTAAGGAGTCAAAAGCAACATATCCAGTCTTTTTTCTCTAAAACTCATGATGAAGCTCAAATTCAATATAGAGCTCGGTTGAATGCATCAATCGATTGTTGTCGATTTCTTTTGAGACAAGGGCTTGCATTTCGTGGTAATGATGAATCTGAACATTCAAGCAACCATGGAAACTTTCTTGAGCTTCTACAGTTTCTTGCCGACCACAATGAGGATGTGAAAGCCGTTACTTTGAAAAATGCTCCAGAGAATCACAAATTGACATCACTAGATATTCAAAAAGACATTGTAAATGCTTGTGCAACTGAGACGATCAAGGCTATTATTGAAGACGTTGGCACTTCGTTGTTCTCTATTTTGATTGATGAATCTCGTGACGTATCAACGAAGGAACAAATGGCTATTGTATTGCGTTATGTGGACAAGAATGGGCATGTCGTTGAGCGTTTTATTGGCATTGAGCATGTTACTAGTACCATTGCTCTCTCACTCAAGGAAACCATTGATGAGGTATTTTCTAGGCATAAATTGAGCATGTCTAGGTTGCATGGGCAAGGTTACGATGGGGCCATCAATATGCAAGGTGAGTTCAATGGTCTTAAAGCTCTTATTATGAAAGAAAGTGGTTGTGCCTATTATATTCATTGCTTTGCACATCAACTTCAATTAGCTCTTGTAGCTGTGGCAAAGAAGAACATTCAAATTGAGTCTCTTTTTAGTATAGTTACTATTTGGTAAATGTTGTTGGAGCTTCATCGAAGCGTTATGATCTTCTTCGGGAGAAGCAATCTATTGCAGTTATTGAAGCACTAAACAGTGGTGAGTTTACAAGTGGGAAAGGCAAAAATCAAGAAACTACTTTGAAACGTGCTGGAGAAACACGTTGGGGTTCACACTTTGGCATGTTTATGTCCAGCCGACTCCTTCTCTGCTTTTGATAACCAAAAGCTATTGCGTCTTGTCCAGTTTTATCCTAAAGACTTCTCTATGAATGAGCTGGTGATACTTAAGATTCAACTTGAGACTTACATTGTGGATATGCGGTCTAGCATTGAGTTTTCAGGTTTAAAAGAGATTGGAGATCTTGCAAAAAAAAAAGGTTCAATGCAAGAAACACAAGGTGTATTCGCTGGTTTACTTGCTTGTGACATTAGCACTAACTCTTCCAGTTGCTACTGCAACCGTTGAAAGAGCATTTTCGGCCATGAAAATTCTGAAGAATCGATTAAGAAATCGGATGGGAGATCAATGGATGAATGACAACATGGTTATTTTTATAGAGATAGAGATATTTGATGGTATTGGTAATGATGTTGTCATGCAACGCTTTCAGAACATGAAAACGTGTTGAGGGATATTGTAAAGGACTGTTGTATGAAAAACTTTATGGATTAATATATAAGTATTGTGTTTAGTAAATTCTTGAGCTTTTTAATTATGACTTTGTTGTTTGAGGATGCCCCCATTCACACAAATCTCTGGCTTCGTCCCTGACTGTTGTTATGCTACGAGATGAATGGAGCGTCGCACGCGTGATTAAAAAGGAAGATTTCTTGTAGTTTACCACCAAAATAAAACGAATTTAGTTTTGATTAGTTAAACAAAAATCTACTCTAAAATGTTAGGGGAATGGATTATAACCATCGGATTTTCAGCTAATGGCTGGCAAAAAAATTTGTTAAGATAATCGGATCAGTTTTAGTTCTAAATCCAAGCAAAATATCTGTATCTTACGAATTTGTGATTGCAATGCAATACGTTCTTCTTTGACTAAAATACATACAAATCTAAATATTAATGTGCATGCACTTTAAATAGGATTTAATTAGTTGACCAACTACGATATAGGGAAGATTTTCTACCTAATTATGGTTTATGTACTTTGATTAGCTAAAGACATTTGGGAAATGCAAAATTTAGTATTACTATCTTCCTCCTTAGCAAAGAGAAAGGGTGTTAGTATGATTTTTGTGTAACAATTTCTTGAGATTAGCACGTCGAGATTTTAGAGAGCATAACACCCTCCTCCACAATATGCAAAACCTCCAACAACAACAACACACGACATTTTAAAATCCTTAAAATTTTGTGTGTTGTGCTCTTCATGCTCCTCAACCAAACGACAAGAAATCGTGATTGACTCGCTGCATGCTTATTCCAATATCGACGATTTACATTTCGTCTTTTGAGAAATATATCAATCAATTTCGATTTTCCCACAGATACAAAAGTCCCTAAAACCACCATCACCTTTCAATTCTCTTCCCCTCCTTTGCCTCTTCACCCACTATTGTCTTTTGGGTGTGGATCGGTTTTTTGTGGGTCCTTTTCGTTTGTGGGAGGTTTGTTTTAATTTCTAGAGAGACATGGGAGCTTGTTGTAGCAAGGAGAAATTGCATGGAGGAGGTTACATGGAGGATGATCATATGGCCAATCGGAATGAGTATTCCGAGGCCGATAAGGAAGAGGATAGTGTAAGGTGTGGGGACGATGGGGCACGCATAAGGTTGGAAGGGTGTTCTAGGAACATATCCATGTACACCCAGCAAGGAAGAAAAGGGATCAATCAAGATGCAATGACAGTTTGGGAGGTACGATATATCAACTTGTCTCTTTTCAATTTGTTAGTTTTTTTTTTTCATTTGTGGTGATTAATTTCTGCTATGTTTTCTAGTCTTATGACGTACATTGGTATATTTAATTACTCGGAACGAATATTAATTATTTTGACTTTGAATCATTCTAATTCCCATCTTTGATTGTATTCATACGAAACTCAAAAAATATGTGGCTCCACATTATAATATGTTATCTAACACATGAAAAAACTAGGAATTTGATCGATTAATTTGGGGAAGGGTAGTTGTTTCCATTCAATTCCCTTCTCCCTCTATATTCATGATTTTCTCGATACCAAAACTTGCTCATTCCAAGTAAGTAAATGCCGATAATGTTTACGTTTATTTGGTTTGTTCACTATGTATATCAAATCTTCTTGAACCCCTATTTTCAGCAAAACTTGTTCTTTCCCATTTCCAAGTTTCTTTATCATGTTCAATTGCTATTATATCCATGAATTCTTCAATGTGCACATCAGCCTATAGAAACCCTTTGGTCCTTTCCCTTGATATATTATTTTATGTCATTGAATTTTGTAGGACTTTACCGAGAAAGGCATGCACTTCTGCGGTGTGTTTGATGGTCATGGCCCCGACGGTCACAAAGTTGCAAGATGTGTACGTGACAATTTACCCTCAAAGCTCTCCGAAGTCATCAAAATTTACCAGCTCAACACCGGCATATTCAGCGACATCAATGTTGCCGGAAGCGAGCTCAATGCAAACAACGGTACAAGTCGCGATAGGAAAGCCAGTAGCGATCTCTCTCTTCCGTCATGGGAAGCCAGTTTCGTTAAATCATTCAAGGAAATGGATGAAGAACTTAGCCTCGATAACACCATTGATAGCTTCTGCAGTGGTTCAACAGCTGTAACTGTACTTAAACAGGTACAATTTTTATTTGCAATTAAATTTTAGAGATAGGAATTCAATAAAATTTGATATTTGTTTTAATTTTGTGCTGTTTGGTTTTCAGGGTGATCATTTGGTGATTGCCAACTTAGGCGATTCTCGTGCAGTTCTTGGAACTAGATCAGGAGAGAAAAAACAAATCGTTCCTGTCCAGCTCACAGTTGATTTGAAACCTGATACTCCAAGTATGTTTAGTACTTCTGCTCCAAATTTTTGGAAATGGTTTCCGCACAACTTTCTCTCCTTCTGCTCACTTCTGTATATTTCCGTTCCTTTGGTTCTCTTTTGAATTATTCAATAGTCCAAAGGCCATAAAGGAAGACGGGTGTACCAGCGGAGAAAGAGGAGTGCAGAAATCACTTCACTTAATATTTTCCTTAAGAGTTGCATGATGATGACGATCAAGTTATTGAGCCTGATTGATTTTCTTGTATTTTTTTTCCTACTGATGAAACTTAGGTGAAGCTGAGAGAATTATGAAATGCAAGGGCAGGATTTTATCAGTGGAGGGAGAACCACAAGTATTTAGATTATGGATGCCGGATGAAGACTGCCCTGGTCTTGCAATGGCAAGGGCTTTCGGGGATTTCTGTGTCAAAGATTACGGTCTAACCTCAAGTCCGGAAGTTTTCTACAGGAAGATATCAAGTGATGATGAATTTGTGGTCTTGGCAACTGATGGGGTAAGAAAACAAAAAAAAAATTGTTTTACTAATATTCTAATTACTATTTGTGAAGCGAGTGCAGAAAAAATTTGGTTTTACTTATAAGCTTCCCTCTAGTACTTAATATCCCTTCAATTAAGGATTTGTTTTTCGCTTCATACGGTTCCTTTTTTTGCTTCATAGGGATCGGTTTTTTGTTTCGTAGGGTTTAGTTTTTAGCTTCATACGGTTATGTTCTTTTGCTTTGTAGGGTTCGGTTCTTCTCTTAGTGTTCGATTTTTTTTCTCCACTGGGTTTGGTGTTTCGCTTCATAAAACTCATTTTTTGGTCTACACGGTCATGAAATTTATTTACGGAGTAATGTGATGGAGTTTCATTTAAGTCGAATATATTTGGCGACTCTTAACAGTATCGAGCTGCATAAGATATTGATGTTGTGCATTGCGCAGATTTGGGATGCTTTAACAAACAGTGACGTGGTAAAGATAGTTGCATCAGCAAGGAAGCGATCCATGGCAGCAGAATTACTAGTAAAGCGTGCAGTTAGAGCATGGAAACGGAAGTTCCCCCAATCGAAAATTGATGATTGTGCAGTTATATGCTTGTACCTGAAGGACCAACCTGCTTCTTCATTAACACAATCCGATTCCCATGCGAGCCGTGTAGGCAAAGGAAATGACTCTGAGCTTTCCCTTTCTTACTATAGCAAAAGATCGAATGTTGCAAGCGATCAGGGAGGCCCTGCATCCGAGATCAACAGCAAGATGATGGAGGATGAGAAGGATACCGTGTTGAACTGCAATGTCTCACAAGACGCAAAGGAAGAGTGGAATGCCATTAAAAGTGTTGACAGAGTAAATACCATGTTGAAGCTTCCTCAATTTTCTAATGGTTTGAGTCGGAGGAAAACATCAAAGGATTACGAAGAGGTTGAAGCTCATTGATTAACTAGCCTCCGTGACGAGGCCTTAAATCGAGCAATTTGCGACCGTGGTTAAGGATTAGCAATCAACAATATTCATCAAACATCTCTCGGAAGGTGCAATTTCAGCTTCCTGCCAAATTCGAAAGAAAAAGTGTAGCCACAAATTCTGCTTTTAGAATTGGCTAGGAGAAAAGAGTACATGTAGATATTTGTCTAACCATGAAGTTAGAAGTGCAATTTCAACGAGGAATACTGATATATAAAATATATGAAGTTGGCTTCTACCTTGAAGTTTTGTTTGGTGCCACGGTCACATGTCGTTTGGTGTTATTTACTCAGATAAGCATGTGAATTGAAAATTGAAATACCCAAATAAAAATCCTACCCAAGAAACAAAAACCTAGCTAGCCACGAGTAGGAGATCATTCGCGACGAAAAACAACTTTACCAGTTGATCAAGCACCAATGCCATGGTGGTGGTATCTTATAGAATTCAAACGCTGAGCTAAACAACTTGGGTGAATGTTCTTCTTCATTCTCTGTTGAGGCTTCAGACTAACCTGGATGTGAAACCAATCGCATATACTTCCCAAAATGACGTACTAATTCGTATCGCGCTGAGACCTCGATATGGAAGATGGAAAAATCAAGCAATATAAGGAAGCGTGTTCTAATACTTATTAACCATATTCATGGATCACTACTGAAAATTTGGGATGATAAGCATATTATAGCAAATGAATCTGTGACCCTTGACCCAAAATTTAAGTAGTGATCCATGAATACAGTTAATAAGTATTAGGACACGCCTCCTTATATTGCTTGGTTTTTCCATCTTCCATGGATCGCTACTAAAAATTTGGGATAATACCTCTTGTAGATGACAACATATGTTGCATATATCATCATCTACTAGAGGTTACATTCCATCTGGATATGTTGATTTTTTTTTTTTTTTTTTTTTTTCGGGGGTCATGATTTGCCCTTTTGTTGCGAGTAGTGGTTTTCTTTTTTCTTGTTGGTATGTATCCTTGTATACTCATCGGATTGTGAACGTGAATTTAGTTTGACAACACAAGTATATGTTGTTTCAATAGTCTGACGATTACATGTATTAACGGAAGAATATATAAGACATTTTCTTTCGTCAAATTGGTTGTTTTATCTTACAATCTTATACATTAGAAAGGTAAAGAACTTAGGGAATAATACCATGTTCTTGAGATTTGATAGTTCTTCGTTCTCTATTGAAGTCTCAGACTGCTCTCAATTCAAGCCAATTGTATGTGATTTCATGGAATTGTAGTGGTGAGGGGTGCCAAGTTTAGAGCTATATATACCAATTTGAAAGATATAACCATCCAGTACATCTGCTCGGTTCCTTATTTGGAACCACTACATGTATGGATTCAGCCAAGTTTCTAGTTCGAATGTTTTTGTGCTTGTTATCGTCTTCTTGATTGCGAACACGATTCTAGTTTGACAATATAAGTATTTTTTTTTTTTGCGAGATAGTTAGACGACTACACATTAATAGAGAAATACAGACACGCTCTGTTATTGTATCTTACAATTTTGTAATTTAGAAATTATTTAGCGTTACCATCACTATTTTAGTTGATGAACTTGATCACCATCAGCTTATATTTACATATATCGCAATGTTTTCTTATCATATTGTGAATCTAAACATATTTACATGATATATTACCTCAGTCACTATGAAAGCTCCCAATCAGTGCAATAAGATGTATATGTTTGTCTATCTCTTAACTCGAAAGATATAATTTTCCTTGGCAAACCTCCGAAAACCCAATGCAGATTCTAGAGGCCCAGGCAACAAACCCAGGGGCCCCCAGAGTGTGATCAATATCTATCATCCCCACTTCTGCTACCTTTTGTTAGTCCCAACACTCCTCCCCCCATATCTTGTACAACAAGCGACAGCAAATCAAAGCAAATATTGTCACCATTAATCCGTCTCTTTCAAGTTTCAAGCTTTCCAGACATATATGATAATTCAGCAGTGACTATTATTTGGAGCCATTAGGCAAATCAACCAGCTGCACACCAGCAAAAGCTCTTCCTTCCAAGAAAAACTTGGATGTAAGTGAAAAATCGTTGTCTCTCTTCTCTCTCATCACACAATTTTTCAATGCATCATTTGAAAGTTCTCTCAGATGTATTTGCGTTTACACATTTTTAATGTCTTTGAGAGAACTTTCAAGTTATATGTAAGAAGCTCTCCTCCTTTCCATTACCCAATGACCCCAAAAAAAAAATGCCATCTTCTTCGATGCAGGTAGACAAACTTAATGCTGCGTTTGAATGAACGACTTGAAAGTTCTCATGAAACTTTTGACTCGGCTTTTAAAAATATACAAGAGCATTACCAACTCATGACCTAGAAAGCCGCAACTCGAACATTACAAACGCACCGCAAACACACTAGATAAAGGACTTCCAAGAAGACACCTATCAATTTTTCATTTGAAAGTTCTCTCCAATAATTTGCACATAGGCAATTTCAAGTAACTCTATCTAGTTATTTTAGTGGCTCTTTAGAGATTATGATGGTAAGAAGTCGACTCAGGCTTTTGGAAAGGTTAGGAAAGGCTGAGTCGACTTCTTACTATCATAATCTTTGCAGTTCGAATTCAAACTGCAGAGAAAATCTCTCTTTCGACCAATCAAATCAGCTCCTATTTGGTCAATGGCGGAGCCAAGTACAAGGCTCCCCTAGGCTATAGCATAGGGAGAGTTTTGGTTCTTTAAGTTTAAAAATATTAATCTTTTGGTTATGTTATAATTTTTAATTGTCATATTCTACTTGGGAAATGAAAATTTTGAATCTTAAGGTTACTTTTGAGTAAAATAAGGGCTAATAAATGTTAAATAAATTCATCACTTTAACCAATATTATAATTTAAAAGTAATAAGTCAAAACTTCCATACTAGAAATGGTTCCTTATTTTATTCACTTGAAAGTTTTGAGGCTAGAAGCTTAAGAAAACATAGTATAAATTTCTTGCTTCAATTGTTACTTTCAGGTTTACTATTATATAACTTTATGTAGGCAACAAAAGATTGAAAAATTGATTTCATAGTAATAATTTTAACTTAGCCCACCCATCGAATAATTCCTAGCTACGCCATTGTATTTGGTCCCAAAAGATCTCTTTAAAACTTGACAGTAAGAAGTCGACTGAGCCTTTTGGATAGGATCTTCTTGATCGCCTTGTAACTAAAAGTTACAAAGACTGATTGGCCTGAAATATCAAAAGAAAGGTGACAGGAGATTCCTATGAAATAAAGCAATAGTTGTTGCATGATGGATCTGGGAATGATACCGCCATAAAAATAAAAATAAAAGATATACAGAGCTGCCGCCTATTTTCTGGTTGAATACATTACAAGATGTTTTTCCATACTTTTTCGCATTCAATTCTAGCTGCAGCGAATTTAGCTCAAGTTCCGTGGATCTTTAAAGCCACTCGCCCAAACCCACAAATAAAAATTGAGAGTGGTATCAAACCAAAGTCAATAGATATGTTTTCCTCTATATTAAACGATATATATCATGCCATCCTTTTTATAGATTACACTACTAGTACTCTCAAGCAGACTAAAAACAGGGTTCACAACCTAAACCCCTCGAAAAAGGACACAGAAAGCAAGATGCAAAAGCAAAAACCTTACTACGAGTTTATAACTAATTATGCCCCTCCCAGTTGTTGATTTGGCTCTAAACAGGAGCAGATTTGCAGACAATGTAGCGATAGGCAGCTACTTTTTTCCGGCGGGAGCCAGAGTTGTCAACTGAGAAAACCATCTTTCCTGCTTCACTGGGAGTAAAGGAGCTGTGGATTGCTTCTTCAGAGGGCATCACTTTTCTTGGCTTCTCCACTTGGATAGTGTAGCTGCCTTCTGCACTAGGCACGAACTCTGCAGTGTACTCCAAGTCCCACCCTCCCACTACTATGTCCCATGTGATTGTTGCATCAGCCTAATCAATTTCAACACCAACATACGAAAAATTAACAAACATTAATCGCGTTTAAATCGCTAATTTATAGAGCTTAAAATGAAGGGTTGTAACAATAATGCAGAAGATTTATGAACCTCAATCCCCTCAATCTGTATGTTCACTTTCTCTCCTCCTTTGACAGTGAACTCGGAAGCTGGTTTAGGGGGGCCGTTTTGTGCATCACTCGGTCGACTCAGGCCTCCGTACTGAACCGGAACATCCTCGGGCCTTATGAACCTGTTTCAGAACAACAAACACCTATTTCTAGTAAGTAGCCATTAATTGTACAGAGTACAGAAGAGAAGAAACTGTTTCAAAACCCCAAACACAAACGGAAAACTGGCGAAGGAATAAAAAACCGGTTCAGAAACAATAACGCCTTCGCAGAAACGGGTTCGATGACAAGGAGACTCACTTGTATAGTGTTTCTGCAACATTTCCTTCCTTGGCTATCACAAACTTGCTCTTTGTCCTCTGAGTCAGAAATGGGCTGAACATAGAATACAAAACACTGAAGTACCACGGCACATTGATGAAAATCTGGAAGAAAACCCCCAATTAGCTCAAAAACTAGTCCAATTCAAATCGAAAACCCAGATCAGAATTACATACATCCCAACAGATCAAACTACAAACACACAAGAAATCAATTAAAATTTTGTTACATCAAGTGAGGAAGCAAGTAAAACCCACATCAGAATTACCTCGAAAAATTACATCCCAGTAAATCAAACCAAAACCCCAATAAAAATCAATTAAAATTTTGAACAATTAAGTTAGCAAGTAAGTAAACTTGAGAATTACCTCAAAAATTACAGTCCACTAAGCCAAATAAAAAACCCAGTAGAAAACAATTAAGACATTAATCAAATTACCTTTCTTGCAACCATTTCAGGATAGTTGTCCTGAAACAGAGAGAGGATCTGGTTGGAAGCAACCCTGAGCTCCCTTTTAGGCATGTCCTTCAGATCAGTCACCTGAATTAGCGAGTTGATCCCGCCTGGCTTAAAGTGCAGGGCATTGATCCCCCTCTCAAGAACCTGCACTCTCCACCTCAGAAACTTCTTCAGCTTCTCATCGTCCCCGAAAATCCTCTCATACATTTCCTTATCTTTAAAAACTCCATAGGCGTTGTAGCAAACAGGGTGCCCCTGTTTGTCGAATCCGTGCATGTACGCCACCACCCCCTCCAGCTCCTTGAACCCCAAGTCCTCCTCCACGACGCCGTCGGCGCCGAACTCCTTCCGCCACGCCAGGCATTTGGTAAGCATGGTGAAAGTGTCGGGGACGCGGAAGTCCCTGGCGCGGAGGAACTTAAGGAGGACGACGTCGGCCTTTTCGTCGTTTCCCAGAAGGGGAATGCCCCACATGGCGGCGGAGGAGGAGTCCGAGACGGCGAGCTTGTCTTTGAGTTCTTGGAGGGATTTCTTTTCGGAGGATTTGAGGTTGGAGACGAAGTAGGTGTCTTCATGGAAGGAGGGGGTGCGGGGGGACATTAGGGACGTGACGAAGCTTTTCTTGCTGGGTTTTGGGGAGGCTTCCGGTAGGGCTTGCAGAGGAGTTTTCTGGTCCATTTTGGGGTTTTGAGAGATACCCAGGTGAGGAAATGCAGCTGGAGTTACTGGGTTTTTGGTGGCTGTGCTGGGTTTGCGGTACCAGAGGTGGAGGTGTGATTTCGATTCTCTGGGAGCTGAGAGGTTCTTCTGGAGTGTTATTATTGCATATAGAACGAGGGGAGAGACAGAAGCGAACAAAAGAGGTTGAAAAAGACAGGGATTTGAGGAGGGAGAGAGAGAGTCTAGAGAGAAAGACAGAGATTGGAAGAGCGAGAGAGAGAGAGAGAGATTTGTTGAAGGAGCCGCGGTTTTGGAGAAATTTTTAATTACGACGGAAACACGGATGGTATATCATGTATTTTTATGTAAGTGGTGAAAAATTTTAAATTTTAAATTATTAACTTTCTAACATACATAACTCACCATTTATATAAAAACACGTAGTGTACTACCTTGTGTGACGGTCACTGAAAAATCTTTCGCGGTTTTGGGTTTGAAGTTTGAAAAGCGGCTTGGGAAATAGAGTTGGGGTGTACTTGTAGCAGTGGCAAAATTTGAATGGAGTGGGTTACACGCGCCGTTGAGCGGGCGGTTTAGGTTTTCGAGGGAACAAAGCCGAGCCGAGGAGGGGGTGAGCCGAGTAAAAAAAGCGTCATAATAATTGAAGGATTTTATCCGGGGGAGTGGGGAAGAGAGAGCACGGGATCGTTGCTTAGGAAGGTGGGGCCCATAGGGAGGAGTGGGGGCAGTGGGCCTATTTGGTTTAGCTCTTTTTCTTATCAGTCTTCTGTGGCCCCAATCGCGTTCCCACGCCTCAAAGCTGCAAAGCACACTTGTTTTTTTTTTTTTTGGAAGACAGCACACTTGTTTATTCCTTGACAAGGATCAATTTCTTCCTATAATCATGCAGAGCAAGTTAATCATCTACTTTTACGAAAAATTATTTTAATATATTTTGAGAAATTTTTCTTTAATAATTTAAGACTAATTCAAAAAATTTCATCCTAAATCCTAATAATTCAAAACTATTGAGTTGCCTGATAAAAGAACAATAAAGATTAATTTTAAAAAATTAAACGATGAAGATTTATTATAAGAAATCAAACAATATAAATCATATGTGTTGTAATTTTTATTCCTTTTATTTTTGTATAAAATATTTTTTATTAAAAATGAATCATTACGGGTGGACACGTGTCAAAGTACAACTTGATGTGCATGATTATAAGAAGAAATTGATCCTTGTCAAGTTAATCATGCACATAAATTGATCATTCTCCAAGTACACATGTTCACCCGTAATTCACTAGCAGCAGTCGCTGATTTTTTCAATAGCCAAGCTTTCTCCAAGAAGAAATGGCCACTGCATGAGTAATTTATTCTGTTAATTTGAATGTTTTAAATTAAATTGTTTTATTTTAAAAGTTAATTGGAGAAAAATATTTCTAAAATTAAGAATATTTATTTTTTTGTCTACTCACTTTATATATAGATGATGTCATGCAAAATGTAAGCATGTGAGCTATGTTTTGCAGGTTTCCCTTTTACCACTAGTTAGCCTGAAAATGTGAAAGCGTAGACCACAGACTTTGAAAAGAATTGGGCAATTACCTTTCGGCCCCACTTTTAAAGGAGGCAGATTTCCGGCCCTCACATTTTCCGTGCTCTCCTGTTTGTGTGATCACGGTTAAGTCACGTTAACATTTTATATTATTATTTATTTTTATCTTATCATCTCTATAAAAAAATAATATAAAATATTAATGTAACTTAATTGTGACTACACAAAACAAGGGCACATGAAATTGGAGGGCAGATAATCTGCCTCCTTTAAAGAAACCCGAATAATTTGCATCGGATTGAGAAAATCAAAAATATAAACTAAGAGAAAGGAGGTTAATAAGAATTTTTTGTGATCTGACTTTTTATTTATTTTATTATTATTAAAGAGACGGAAATGATTCAAAATTACTATTATAATTTAGGAGAAAATAAAATTTCAAATATATGGTGTATAAGTAAAATTCAACATCCTATACCGTAGAATATTGAATCCTACTATCCTTAGGCATATGGTTGTTTAGCAATAAACCATGGGATTAGGACCCATCCATCATTTTACCAACCCAAGCTCTAAATCATTGAAAGTCATGCTCCTTACTTCAAAAGTTAGTCTCAAATGGGATATCCCTATCTGGTAGCGGTGGATTCAGAAAAATTTATTTAAATTATTATGTGTTAAGAGAGTGAAACTTGTACTGAGGACTCATATGGAGTTCAATCATTTTTTATTGCCAATTGGTTTCAGGATTAATTATTAATTTCCTCCATAATATCAAAGTAGATTATCCATGTGTTGAGCACAACAATAAAAATGTTTCAACTTCACCGATTACCCATGTGTTAGACTTAAATAATGCACAACGCTTTTCCCTAGTTGTCATTTGCTACCTAGCTTACCTCAACTTATTTAAGACATTTTATCTAGCATTTTGTTTACACAATAGGTAGATTTAAAGAGAATATCAAATTAACAAAGATAATTTTCTGTGTAAAATAGTTGAAGTAGAGACAAATGTATACACTAACTTATGTGGATCAGCTAGTTCTTTGAATTGTAGCATTATCTATACAAAATACATGCTTATAGCAATGCTGATATGAAGTATTATCCTAAAAACTATGTACCATATGGCACTATCCATGTATGTGCTTTAAAAAACAACCCAGGCTTGTGATTGAAGAAAATTTTCAGTGTGTTGTGAACACAACTTGTTATTTCAAATGTTATAAATTAGTTAGAAATTATTTTTTTCAAATCAACCAATTATATTATTGCTTTTATGTGTTTTATGTGGGAGAGGAATAATTTTTCTTTTAATGTTAGGGAGAGGGTAGGGAAGTTGGGAGGAGAATAATTTTTCTTTTAATTTTTAATTTTATTTCATTTTTTAATATTTTAAATCAAATAAATAATTTTATAAACAAGTTTATAATCATTTATATTTTTTTTTTACAAAAATTAGATGGAAATATCCTTAATTGGCTAAGGCATATCAACACAATGCTCACCATACACCTAATCAATTGACACGTGTTCTTTTACCTAACTCTAGTTAACTTTAATATTAAATGTTAGTTTTTTCAATTTTGAAAAAAATTAACCAAGATTAAGTGAAATGACATATGTCAATGGATTAGGTGTATGATGAACATATACCATAATTTATGGTAGTGAGCAAAAATGCTCCCCACATTTAAACCTTAAAAAATCTCATCTGGACATATTAAACGTACAGATTTTTTAAGGATTAACTAGAGTTTGTTGACATTAAATTAGTTTGAAAACCGTGAAAGCTAATGTTTAATTAAAAAAATGATCAAAGTAAATCATTCTTTTCTACTTTTCCGGGGGTGAGCCAAATCACTTTTGACCTGTTCTACCACCCCACTTGATTAATAAACCCTTTAATTACCACCTCACTTTTAGGGTTACTTACATTAATGGTCCTGAACTTTAGTTCGAGTTGCATTCGAGTCCTCCAAATTAGGTCTTGAGATGCATCTTTACGTTTCTGTCAACTCTGTCTATTTCTCTATCAAAATTGATCATTTAACCACGTTCAAATTGTCGTTGAACCTAAACTATGAGGGTGTAAAGTAACTCTTTATTCTCGTTTTTTTTTGCTTTGAACTAGTGAGAAATTATAACACATGACCAATAGAATTTATACTGCCACACAGACGATACTTCAACTTGTTCTATTGAGTTACCGAGCCCGACCTGTGACCCAAATTTTTATGGCAGAGGACCATATACGACCGACCGTAAGTAAGAACTTCTCTTAATTTGTGAAATTAAGCAAAGAAATTGCATTAAAAAACATGACATGACATAACATAACAACAAATAAAGTGATTTGCATGTGAAATGTGGCCACTAGAAGTTCAAACATGCTTTTAATCCAAAACAAAACACAACACTCTACCACACCTGAAAAGAACATCAGATTAATGACAGGAGATTAAACCACAAATCCGCTCAATCCCACCAAGATTCTATTTTCCTTCCAAAGATATCATCATTTTTTTACTCTCTCCAAATTCCAATCCAACATTTTTATATGAAGGGGCTGCAACTAATACAATACTGCAGAGAGACACAGTGCAGCATTAGACAAAGAAAAAGAAGAAACAAAAGCAAGCAAAGTGGAAAGCTTTTGAATAAGTGGACACAGTTTACCATCTCTCTTTCAATTTTGTCAGTTCCTCCCTCATGGGATTCTCAGAGGCAAGGAAGCCCATTACCACCCAGAGATTCAGAAATTTCTGATTTCGCAGATAAGGTTTTGGGTTTACTTGATTAAATGCCAAAAGTAAAGACAAAACCGGAACATGGATCTTTGAAATTTAGTCGGTTCCTGAACTGAAAAGTTGTGAGTACTTATCATGAATTTATTTGAATGTAAAGTAACGTCTAATGTATCTTTAACGCTGATAGTTTTGGATAACACCATTAGAGTTTAGATCATATCTAACTTTTGAGTTAAAATCTAGAAAATTTAAATTTTTATCTGACCAAATTTTTAACCTGAGATTATTAAATAATGAATTTAGGATATTTTTTTTCTTACAATAATTTTTTTTTTAAAATAAATTATGTAGACTATTCTAATTTAATTTTATGAACATTTAACCTAAAAATATTTAGATTTCGATAATTATTGAAAAATCATTAAACCAACACGATAAAACTCGTGGAACACTATAAAAGTATAAACACATTAAAGAATTTTTTTAAATTATTTTAACCATTGGATTTAAATTTGAACTGTTAAATTTTTTTTTTACCGTTGAATTTAATCATGTTAGGTCTTAGAGGTTGGATTCAATGAATTTATAAATATAAAACTAAAAAAAATACATATATATGGTGAGCAAGCCTATTGACTTAGGGGGGATTTCTGATCTCAATTTGTCCCAAAAATGAATTTTGGTTTAAAACTCATATTTTGCCCAAAGTTTGAAGCAAGTTGGGATAGGAGTAGGTCTTAGAATCAAAACTAAAAAGATTAAAAAGGTAAATGAGAGATGAGAGTTTACCTTCCACACATTCTCTATTAATTTTTGTCCGTTAATCCTATTTAATTCATTTGATCCAACAACCATAAATTAAAAAAATATGTGAAAAATAAAAAATGTGTTTAAATAATACCACCCAAAAAACTCACGTTGCGACAAATTGAATAATAAATAATCTTGAATTTTGAATGGATTAATACTCTAATTGGGCCAAATTGTTTTTTTTTTTTTTTTTAATATTTGTGGTGACCCAATGAACTAAAACTTGCTTTAAAAGTAATAGGGTTTGTGCAGAGTTGCAGGGAGTCTCAGACCAAGGAGGTTTCTTTTTGGTGAAATATTGGGGGGGGGGGGGGGGGGGGGGCAGTGTTTTTTACACCAACTGGGGCATGCCCGATTTTCTGTGGATATAAGTAGATTTAATGATGGGCATACTCTTGTAGCATTGGCATTAATTATTAAAAAAACTAATTTTCTTTTCAATTTATAAGTTTCAATAATGGAGGTCTATAAACTGTTGCTGTCCTCCGTCTGAACCCTAGCTTTCATCCATCTTCTTACACACCCAAACCCAAACCCATCTGCTCTGTTTCCTGAAGGGACCTGGATTGTCTGGCCTTCCCATCTCATATCTTTCTATATTAGTGATCACAGTTAAGTCACGTCAACATTTTATATTCTCATTGCTTTAATGTTGACGTGGCTTAACTATGACCACATAAATAAGAGGGAATGGGAAGGGCAGACAATCCAGGTCCTTCGGAAAGAAGTTTATTTTATCACCGATTGTATATAATTATATATTTATATCTTTAAATGATCAATTATATGATAGAAAAGATAAAATATAATTACATATAATTAGTGACCCTAAAAAACCTTTTATATAATTTGTGAGTTTCCTCAGCCTTCGAAAAAATGGTCTGTCTTGATGAAATCACCAACTGATTTCATTTTTAAAAAAGAAAAAAAAACCTTTGAATATAATTCACATGTATCAACGACCAGAGTTAAACAACGGGCGAGACAAACTTAGCCTATCATTGCTTTTTGAATTATGTTTGTAGTAGCATAATGCATATATACGAATGGAAGATTGCTTTTTTTTTTGGGGTAAGTTACAGTACCAAATGATAAAGTTGGACATTATAATGGGAGCATGGGGGTTAATAGTCAAGGCTTGGTGGACAGAATTTCAAACTCTTTTCGTACCCAATGCTAAATTTGGAGAGTTCTTTGGCCTCTTTCCGTGTGAAACCGTTGCTGAAAACTGGTTCACTTACATTTACAATTTCTTGACTTTGTTCACTACTACGGATGTCATAACTATTAAATTTAATTTTCACAACTCTTCGATCTGTTATTTTTATTCTCAATCATATATTTATACATCATTCAATGTTACGCATTATTGAAGAAAAATGTTTTCCTATGTCGTACTTCTTTCATGGTTTTTGTCGTTATGTTTACATTAATTTATGCATTCCAATTTTCAACCGCACAAAAAATTCCCAAATGAAAAAAGGATTGCGAAAGATATAAGAGCGACTCTGAACCGTAATCTTTGTATGAATAGTAATTTTTACAAGTTGTTTTTTATGCACTAATTTTGTTTTGTCTTACTGAATCACCTTTTAACTTTTTCATTCCAACTACTGCAAAAATAAGAAAGAAGTGCATACGGTGTTTGAGAAATAAAAATGAATCGATCACAAAAAATGTACGCAATCAGTGTGTTACTTTATTTGGTAAAAAAAAGATGTAAAGATGGACTGGACCTTAAAAAAAATTCAGTGACTGAGTGATTGGACCGATTAAGTGGATTGACATAGATGTAACCCTGCCACTCTCTCAGACTCTCTGTCTCACTCCCAATTTCACACGCTCCGATTCCTTCCTCACATGACCATTGGATTTTGATTTGACCAAACTTCACAACCAGAAACTGAACAAATACAGGCACCCAGTAAGAAAAAAATGGAGAAAGTGAAGAAAAGAAAGCAAAGGAATGCATACGGACACTCATGGCCAATGCATATTTGATCTAACGGTTCTCGGTCACACACTTTAGATCTTTGAATCAAATTTAACGGTTAAATATTTGTCAATATTGAGTGTTTGTAGGCACCTGAAAAAAATCGAAGAAAAAGTTGTAAATGAGCAAACACTTTTTTACACAATCTGAAGGCGGATTAGAACAGATGACCAAGATAGTGTGCATTCTCTCTTATGTCGAGTTTAAAATATCGCAATTGAAGAGAGAGAAAAAATCAAATAAGGTATGATCCAATAGACAAGCTTGGTTTTAACAGGGCCTATGAGGAATATTTGTGGTTCCAGCCCAGTTGAGAAACATTGGACTGGGCCCAAGAAGTATATCGATGATCCATGTAGGAGCATATGAGTCCAGGACCCACCCAAACATACTACATTTGGTATTGCCCAGGCAACAACAATGCGAATTAATCTTCGATGAGATGGAAAACATATAGCACAAGATGAAACTGCATTTTTATGTTGGTTTTCCACAACAGGTAAAAGTGAAAATAAGAAATGCGAGAGTCAATTTCTTATCATGAGTATTTAGGGTCAATGATTACTCTTGAAAAATTGGATGAAATGATGAAAATACAAATCTCAATTGTTTGGAGATTTTATCGATTATTTCGTCAATAATTAATATTATTGTCAATATCTGATCGATGTGTGTGTGTTTTTTAATTTATTATTATTAACAAAATTATTACAATAATTTAGAAAATATGAGAGTTTTGAATTTGAGATGTATAAATTCTTTGTTTGATGTTGTTTTGTTTTTTTTTTTGTTTTTTTTTTTTAAGAATCAAAATGTGTAAAATCCTCATTTAAGTTAACTTCCCTAATTTCTAACTTAAAAGAGCATTACCCAACGCCTACGACGGCGATGGAGACTAAGTAGAGACTAACAACTTACTAGTATCCATTGTCATCATAGGCAATGTGAAGTGACATGAAACTTGAAATTGGCAACTTTTAGAGAATGACTTATATGGCACGAGTAAACTGACACGTGACATCTTGCTAATGAGTTAAGGATATGTAAATAAAAACTTACACGTATATTGATTTCTTTAATACATAACACCACTATAACAATGTACACCTACAATGTAAAAATTTCTCATACTTTAGACGCACAACTACCAATATTTTAATTTATTATAATTGTTACATATCAAAGTACAAACTCAGAATATCATCCCAACTTTCCCTTTTCTTTTCTTTTCCTTTTTGGCCAATAGTTTTTCCAACTATGGCCTAATCGGAATGGTTCCCGTGGTCATAATCAGATTCAACTTCAATTCGCGGTTTCATTGCTTCGAAATAGGGAGCAACTGTGAATGAAAGTTTTGGTTATGAGCAATGAATGTAATGGATGAAATGACCATCTTAGCCTCACTTGTGAGGCTCATGGGCAGACTATTTACAAAGGAATGGTATAAGCTTTAATTGTGGGCATAAATCCTAACAGATTTCACCACATGAGTTTAAATCTAATTACCACATATCCCATTACTTTATAACATTTATGGCTTATATCAAAGTACAAACTTAGAATTTCATCCCAACTTTCCCTTTCTTTTTCTTTTTGGTCAATAGCTTTTCCTTTTCTTTTCCTTTCCTTGTTTCACAAAACTTTAATGTTCACATGTGAATGTTATTCCTCAATTTAAATTTAATACATTTACATAACCATTTAGAGAAGTGCATAATAATTTTTCTATGTAGCACCTCTCAACACATATTGTAAAGGATTAGTACAGCGCACGTGATTAGTAGTGCACTAAATCTCTACTTGATTGAAAAATGTCTCATGTTTGACTCACACAAATAAGAAAACAATATTAAGTATAGGAAGTTTGATCCGTTATAAAAATATTTTGAAAAATCTTACTAAATTGATCAATTTACGATTTAAATTCATGAACTGGTCATACTCACATTTATATTAAATACTGAAAAATGATATGTTAACAATTCAAATTTGTAATTTATTTTTTCAGTCAATTTAGCAAGTGTTTTTGTAAATATTTTCATTTTCCAAAGAAAAGAAAATAAGTGGACTTTCACTTGCCAATCTCTTTCGCATACTTTTTATTTTATTTTTTACCATCAAATTAAATATTTTAACATAATTACATAAATTATGACAAGTGGTCTAGTTATACATGGTAGAATTTCAAGTCAAGTTTGCTCTTTTGTCTTGTGTTCGAGGCACGTGACAAAAACATAAATGATTATTTGGTTGAAAGCTTTGGGAGCACATGTACCATTAATTTGACCGTGGTGAGAAGTAGACTGAAATGTCTTTCGCCTTCCAAACCCTAATGGAAATTAATTCTACCCATTAGAATGTGGGATGCCTCATACTTTGGCAAAAACAAAGGGGTGCTATTGATACATTTCTTTTTACTTTCTACACACCCTTTTAATTTGTAGTCGTCGGATAGACTAAATTAAAGAAATCAAAGAACATAAATTAACAAAAAAGGTGTCAGAAGTAAAAAAAAAAAAAGTGTGAATAACACACCAATAAAATAAAGGAAAGAACTTCGCTACAGAATTTACAGCAGTCAAGTCCAGTTCTAAAATAAGAAGTCAAACACACCCAAAAAAAAAAAAAAAGTCCAAACATAATTAAAGTGTGTTTTTCACAAAGAAAAGGTGTTTCACATACTCAATTTGTGAGTTTCCAAATTTGGGTTATAAAGCGCGCCTCCCGCTAAAGTGCGCCTGGGTGTATACGTACTGCAGCTGAGTCTCAATTATGGTTCGTTCTTTATGAACTATAAGATTATAGGAGCCGTAGGATCAGCCGACGGATCAATCTCGTCCCATTTCGCGCTCCCTCGTATCCGTTTCCTGCAGAAAGATTCTTCATTCCTCAGAACACCATTGTCAGAGACTCAAGAGTAGGGTAATCACTCTCTCTCCTCTCTCTCTTTCTTAAGTTCTCAATTAATGTTCTGGAAAGGTAGAGATACAGAGTGTACTGGATCTCTGAATCATACGGGTTTTTAATCAAGACGATGAGCTTGTTATTTGTTGGGTAGCTCCACATTTCCATGGATTCTTAGGATTCTTACTCAATACACTGTTTTGACGCGCTTGTTTGATCAAAAAGGTAGAATTTTTTTGAGTTCTCTGAGTTACTCGGTTTGATCGAGATGACGAACTTGAATTTTAGTCGCAGAGTTTTCATGGATTCTTGGGGTTTTTATATTAGAAACTGTTTTCAAGAACTTGGTTTTGTTAAAAGGTAGCAGCTTTTTGGGTTAATGAAGTAAATAAAAATATGGGCAGTGCATATTTTTCGGGTTTTATTCTGAAACTGTGTTTTTTTGGAGGATGGAGTTTTCAAAAATGGCGTTTTTTCTTCTTCTTCTTCTGGTTCTGAAATTTGTGAAGCTATTTTGTGTTTCAAAAATGGCGTCTGATCATTCATTTTTTTCTTTGTTCTCTACAACCATGTTTATAATCTTTTATGTATCGTCATAACTGTACTCATTTGGAAATTTCGGCTGATTTCTGATGTATTTCGATGGCGGAATTCTTACGGCCTTTAGAGTTTGGGGTTAAACCCTAACCGCTTTCCTTCCTTCAATTTCATGTCTATGCGGGTCTTGGAACCTCTGAGTATTCCCCCCCTCCCAGTCCTATTTCATTCATTTGGTGGTAGACTGTATTTTGTGTCACAAATGATTCTGTATGTAGCACATGATCTTTGTTTCTTTTTCAGGTTTACAATATAATTCGACCTGTCTGTATCGAAAATGGGGGCCGGCAGGAAGACACAGACCTTTACTTTATCTTCTTCTCAAGACATGGCAACCTACTCTGCGTCCATGAGGAATTTGCGGCGGAATAGCCTTGGTGGTGTCATCTTCGGTGCCACGAAATTCACAATTGACGAATGTCTATCTAAACAACTATTTGGTCAGTGTTCTTAGCTTTATTACTTGTTTGTTCCTAACTTCTGCATTTCCGTTTTCGGTTTTTAATTTGGTTTAAACCAGTGGTGTAGTGAAGTGAATATGCACCAATTCGTTTTTCCTTGTCTATGTTGCAAGTGCATTGCCATCTTCACGTAAAATCCCCTTTTCGTGAGCCTGAAAACAGTGTAACCAGTTTATTAAGCACACAACTTTCTGCAAATGATGAACTTTGTCTGTTGCCTTCGTGCAATACTACTGCTCATTTCATGTTTTAGTTTAGTTTCGGGTCTATGCACTCATGAGTTCTATTCTATATTCTTCCAGGCTTACCAGCTGCACACTACATGTATGTGAAGAACATTACTCCTGGCTTGCCACTTTTTCTCTTCAACTATTCTGATAGGAAGCTACATGGAATTTTTGAGGCTACTGGCCTTGGACAAATGAATATCAATCCATATGGATGGAGCACTGATGGTTCAGAGAGAACGCAGTATCCTGCGCAGGTATAAAATAAATAGTTTCTCAAACTTGGTGTGATTGTCCTGAGTTATATTGTAGGTAAACAAGGGCTTGTTTGGGATTGTTTATGTAGGAAGAAAGTTTGCTCATAAGCGCTTTTGATAAAACCGATTTCGTTAGTTAGAAACACATTGAAATTTTTATCAAAAATCCAAGTGTTTTCTTAAACTTCTATGACCTAGAAGCACTTTTAACTTTTTCTGCCAAACACAATACTTTTAGTTGTCAAAAAGCACTTTTAGCAATTCAGAACAAGTTAGTCAGGATGAGGCTTTTGTGCTGATATATTTTGTTTCCTACGTTTAAGGTTAAGTTCCATACACGGATGCAGTGCCGACCACTGCTTGAAAGCGAGTATAAAGACATCATTGCTGACAACTACTACACCGAGAGTCATTTCTGGTTTGAGCTTGATCACTCGCAAACAAGCAAGCTGACATCTAAGTTTGCATCTGTAAAAGTTGCTCCAAGTAATCCCGTACCACAGATACCTAAGTCATCATCTGTAAATGTTGCTCCAAGTACTTCTGTGCCACAAGGTACGCTGAATTGGAGAAAAGCTTGTTTTCCAGCTCCTCCCTCACATGATACAAAAGAGCAACCTCCGTCTTCTCCTTCACATGACACAAAAGAGAAACGTCCGGCTTATACTTCACATGACACAATAGAGGAACCTGAATGGCTTGAACTGCTTACCTCGGAGACTGAGCATTTGAGCTATTCATGTCCGAATTGGGATGCCCCAATTTTATTTGGAAGATATAATGCATTGAATTCCCAATATGATGTGAAAGAGGCTGAACAAGTGGAGCAGGAACGGGTATACGGAAAACTGAAAGAGTTGGCTCTTCAATATGATCTTAACGGTGAATGTCAAGACATGTCTTTCTCTGGAAATGTTGACGATAGCGCTGTCTCAAATGAAATGACCTGGGAGGACACTGAGGAGTCAATGGCACCGTTGGGTTTAGATGAGAAGAGGCCAGGGAGTTCTCGCTCCTCATTTGAGCAGAAGAGCAGAGAGAGTTCCCGATCCTTCTGTGAGAATCCAATCATAGCCAAGGTAGATGAACATTTTAGTAGTTTGTAAATCATAAATCCAATTAATGTTAGGTATCCTTGTTGTTTTTTTTGTTTTAATTACAACTACTCTCTTATGTATTATTATGTTGGCATCAGTTGATTGAAGAGGTGGAGGAGCTCAAAGCTTCTAAGAAAGAACAATCTGTGAAGATCGGTTTATTGGAGCACAAGCTGGTAAGTAACACATGCTATGTTTGTTAAACATCCACTATATTTCGGTTTCTTTGCTTTTCTTCTTCTGCGGAGTCATCTAACCAACATTAAATAGCAAGTTAAGAATGCATTTGCTCATCAGTGGCACTGCATTGGTACCTAAATAAAAATTCATAATACTTAATGCGTATTGAAGGCCCGGTTTATGCTTTCATATTAGCTTCTTCCTCAAATCTGCAAAATAAGAGGTTGCCGGACAGAATCCCTGGTCCAGACCTGATGAAAGTTTTGTTTGAATGACTGCGTTTAACTGTTGTACTGAGAAATCGTTGGGAGCATACTCTTGTCGATAACAGTTCTGGTTTTAATTGTCTTCTTACTGTGAGTTTTGGCATTCCTGCTGCATTGTTCTTTAAACCGATTACGATAACTCAATTAACGAATAAACGAAAACTGAGATTGCATATTTTGCTACAACAAAAAAGTCAGATTAAACTGTGAAATTAGTTAATGCTGCATAATCGACTTCACTGATCTTATTCCTCTTGTGACTTTGGATTTCTGTACCGGTATTTCAGAAGAAGGCGGAGCTTGAAATTCAGCAGTTAAAAGTTTGGTATGAAGGTTGAATCGGAGTCCACACCTTAGAAGTTGTATGTGGTGACATGGGAGGCAAGGGTAGAGAAGCTGGAGAATGAAGGCATGGTTGTTTGTATATGCCACTGACAATTATATAGTTTGTATTATCAAATTAATCTAGTACTAATCTACTGTAGCCTTTTTCTAGGGTGCGTATTATCAAATGGTCGATTGATCTGTTTTTTGAATGGTTTTACTTACGAGAAGGAATCATCTTTTCTTTTGATCGTAAGAAGGATAATGATTTTTTTTGGAAGTTGAGGTGCCACGTTGAAATCACCTGGCAAAGGAAGAGTGAATCAACTATTTTCAAGCCTTTGCAGAGTTCTTTAGTTTTAGATGTGGGATTCGCACTCCCAACAATCTTTTCCAGTCATGTCTGTTTGCACTCTTGCCTTGTTTTTATACTTCGACTTTCTTTTGTTTATTCAATATAAATGGCTAAATAGGCAGTTCAAAGTCATTTCCCTATGATTTTTAACGAGAACCGTTTTTCACATTGCCTTTTGTTTACTTTTTTTTTTTTATAATAATTTTTTTTATTTACGTTTTTATTTTCTTTTGAATTATTTAATTTAAAAGTTAAAAAATAGGTGTGGAAACTATTTCGCTTGATTATATTGTATTTGATAGCTCCACCTGATAAAACACATGATCATCAAAACTCAAGCTTAATTCACTCAATTGGAGAGGCTATTGTTCAAATTCATGAACAATAGTTGGAAAAAAATGCGAGCATATGCAACTTGTGAATGAAAAATACTTTGCTCCTTTTGGAGGGAAAAAAGTGTGAGCATATACTAACTCGTGAATGAAAAATACTTTGCTCCTTTTGGATCGAGGCATGTTTACTTTCTTAAGAATCACAATTTAATACATGTGCACATAATTTTTTTTTGGGTTTTTAAAAAATATTGTGCATGTCAAATTGTAATACTCATACAGGTTGTCATGGTTTGAAATTGAGCATGGGCGCATAGTTGGGCTCTTTTACTTGTGAATCATGATTTTCACACTTCTGTTGTTCTTGTTACACTCTTCCTCTTATTTCTGCCTCGCGATTATTCTTTAATTTATCAAATCAAAGTCTAGAAATTAAAGCAAGTGGCTAAAGGGGTGAAGCTTTCGCCCTCTGGCATTCACTTTCTCGGCAAGGTCACTTCATCCCTCCCTTGTCAAAGACTCATGAGTAGTTTTCTCTGTGTTTATTTTCTACAAGGAAAGAGATACTAAATGCAATAGTTATCTGAATCATCTGGATAGGGTGTTGGGTTTCCACCCAAAGTTCCGATTTCGAAACTCCCCATTTTCTAAATTATTGTAAGTTTTGAATTCTCTCCCTGCCCTTAATAATAATAATTTAGAAAAAAAAATGTACTATTAATTCCAAATTTAAAAAAAATATGGTTCATCTATTTTTTTTTGGACACTAGCTTGTGCTCCAAGTCCTAAACCCTAAATTGGATGAATCTTTATCTATTCTCAAGAATATGTTTTTAATCATTCATGTCTTGCTTGATTCCGCAGCTTAGACGCCTTGCGTTTAATTGCGTTCGATAGATTCCAATCCGTTGTCTTTTTAATGGATTAGATAAAGGGGAAATCAACATTCCAATCTCTCAGAAATGTTATGGGAATAAGTTTTCTCCATGCACACGTCAAGGATGTCTTCCAAATTATTATATAATACGGCTCGAGTAGTCTTCTTTATCGGCTCGACGGGAATTCTTTTAAAATCTTTCTAAACCTCTGATGATTGTCCTATGCCACCCACCCTTCACCTCGAGTAATCTTTCTTTACTGTAGAACCCTCACCGTTGGCTATTTAAACGCATATTCACGATCAATTTGTATATATCCGTACCTTCACTACGAACCACAATCCTTGTACTCAGCTGAAATGGCTGAACGTGCCTTTGATTTGGCAGTCAGACTCACGGAGAAGCTAGGCTCCCTTGCTTACGACGAGATTTGCTTGGCATGGGCGGTTCAATCCGATCTGAGAAAGCTTGAGGGCACCATGTCCACAATCAAAGGCGTGCTCTTGGATGCTGAAGAGAAGCAAGCGAATAACAAGGAGCTCCGCAGTTGGCTCAGACAAGTTAAAAATGTGTTTCTTGATGCCGAGGATGTGTTGGATGAGTTTGAGTGTGAAGCCCTGCGAAAGCAAGTGGTGAAAAAATTTCATGGTACATGTAGAAAGGTACGTCGTTTTTTCTCCCGGTCTAATCCTGTTGCATTCCGTTTGAGGGTAGCTCATGAAATCAAAGAGTTATGGGAGAGGTTAGAAGAGCTTAAAGCCAATAAGTCTATCTTTGATTCTCTCACTAGTCATAGTAAAGGTTACTATGATGACCATGATAGCAATCTGAAGCAGGTGATCAAGGCGAGAGAGACGCACTCTTTCGTCCGTGCTTCGGAGGTTGTTGGTAGAGAATTTGAGAAAGAAGAGCTAGTAGATCGTTTGATTGAGCAAGGTGACGATCATTTCTCAGTAATTCCTGTAGTTGGAATGGGAGGTATAGGCAAGACTACACTTGCTAAGTTGGTGTACAATGATACAAGAGTCATTAAGAATTTTGAATTGATGATTTGGCAGTATGTGTCAGTAGATTTTGATATTGCTAGATTGACAAAAGAGATTCTTAGTTCTGTATTAGGTACAAATATTAGTGGTGAATTGTCTATGAATCAGTTGCAAGAAAAACTACGAGATGCTTTGAAGGATAAAATTTTTTTACTTGTGAACGAAAATGCATATAAATGGGGTGAGTTGAAAGATTTGTTGGTAGAGGGGGCCAAATTAGGAAGTAAGGTTTTAGTGACAACCCGTAATGTTACAGTTGCTTCCATCATGGGAACTGTTCCGACAAACATTAATTTGAAAATTCTCTCCGAAGAGGATTGCATGTCCTTGTTTGTGAAATGTGCATTTAAAGGAGGAGAAGAGAGAGAACATCCAAACCTCTTTGAAATTGGGAAAGATATTGTGAGAAAGTGTGGAGGGGTCCCCTTAGCGGTGAAAACTTTAGGATGTCAACTTTCCTCAAAGACTGATGAACGGTATTGGGAAATGATAAGGGATTCTGCAATATGGGAATTAGAAAGAGAGGGAGAAGCTCACGTTTTACCTGCTTTGAGACTTAGTTATACTCATTTGCCTCCCCATTTGAAAAGATGTCTTGCTTATTGTTCACTTCTTCCAAGGACATACGAAGGGCTTCATAGCTTGCTATTGATCAAAATTTGGATAGCAAATGGAATCCTTGAATCTCATGATCATGGGAATCTGGAGTTGGAAGATGTTGGTGAGCTATATTTTAAAGAGTTATGGGAGAGGTCCTTCTTTCAAAATGTTCAAGATAATAGTCTATTCTGCAAATTTCGTATGCATGATCTTATCCATGACCTCGTACGATCAGTTGCACAAGATGAGTGCTTTGCAGTAGACTTTGAAGGCACCAAAGAAATCTCTGAAAATGTTAGACATTTGTCAGTATTCAGACCAGCACAAAATGTTCCATCAATCTTGGATAAGCGGAACAGGTTGCGATCTATAACTGCGGAAGGTATAGATAACAATTAAGATAACCATTCCTTGCCTTTCTTATGACTTGTGTCAGTCAGAACCCACGAACTGTCTATAGCCAATAGTTCATAATCAACTTCATTTATCTTATTACTTCTTAATTTGGAGTTCTTCACCGACATTTCAGGAGCAGGCAGAGACAGAAATTCGATGCTTAAAATTTTGTCTACAGTTGGAATCTGGTTCTGCACCTTCCAAGGCACATACTGATGAGAAGGATACTGAATCATGGAATGTGCTGCATTATGATCCCGATGAGTCGATTTATCTAGTTGGTGGATATGATGGCGAATCATGTTTATCGGCATTTGATGCTTATTATCCTTTTGAAGATATGATAAAACCTCTGAGACCAATGAGCACAGTTTGTTCATTTGTCTCCGTTGCACAATGTTATGGCGATCTTTATGTAATTGGTGGTGGCGATGGTCTTGTGTGGTATGATACAGGTATTAGATCTTGGCCATTTGAAATTTATTTCTTACTGGAACGAATACTTTCGTGACTTCTATTTCTGGTCGTTCTCTGAAGTTGAATCTACTGCCCTGTTGCTGATGAGTGGAAGCAGTGCCCTTCTTTGAGAGAGAAAATGGGTAGCTTAGCTGCAGCTACCACAAACAAGAAATTTTTTGCAATGGGTGGTGGGAACAGAGTTGATTGCTTTGCAGATGTTGAGATGCTTGATTTAGAAGTGGGACGATGGATCCGTACACAGTCAATGTTACAGAAGGTAATATATATTTGGTCGCTTTCCCTATGATGTGTTTTTCTTGGACAAAAAGTTTACCTCGTGGCTCTTGATTTGCGCTTCTTTTGTTGTTCTAGTGTATGGCTCTTGCTGCGGTAGAACTCAAAGGTGTGCTTTATGCCACTGGTGGATATGATGGGAGTAGTTATTTGAAGTAAGATATTGAACCTCCTTTCTAATGTTTAGTTTTCCTATATCGATGGTTGACTTGAAATGTTCGTATCTCGCCTCTGTTGATAGATTTGACCCCAGAGAACGCGGTTGGACCAAAACTGCCTATATGCATTCAAAATGGAGCTGCCATTCATCAGTTGTTCTGAATGAAAAAATGTAAGTACATTTGTTCGACTTGTTTCAATCAGCATCTCAGACATGCTCCTACGATGACTTAGACATGGATATTCCGCTAAATGCAAAACTCATGCACATAATTTGACATGAGAACTTGTCATAAACTTAGACAGGTAATGATTTTTTAAGCATTAGCTTGATCTGATAAGACATTCGTCTTCGAATGAGAACTTGTTATAAAGTTAGACATAAATCACTTCTTTTGTTGACCATCTCTGCAGAAGATAGTCCATGGTTGCTCCACTCTACTATTGCCCGGTTGCCCAAATCACTTAAGGCCATTGCTTGGTGTCAAGATTGAGTTGGATTAGTGATGCAGAATAAATGTATGTTAGACCCTAATTTCTGGTTACTTGGTTCTACATCAATTTGATAACTCACTATATTAAATCTACATTAAAGGATGGGATGGGATTAGTCGCAGGGAAAACTTATCCCTCCCAATCTTACCAATTTTGCTGGGATTGGAATGAATAAGTTTCCGTCATGTTCTACCCTTAACTTTGACAAAAATTTAAAGTTGACATCCGTTTCTTCATTTCTTATACATTGAGTCTATGGAGTTCTCCAATGCAATCCAATCATTGACACCAAACGAGGCCTTGAGAAAATATACAGGGATTAGATTTTTGGTTGACGTGAAATGGCCACGATGACCATCGGTATAAGGTGTTTCATGTCCGCGGCTGCTTCTTCGGCCTGATTGTGCAATGTTAGATGCTGTAAACTTAGAAGGGAAAGCCTTTCGGTCCATCCAATGTGTTTTTAGTAGAAAAATGCATAGTGGAGATACTGGAAGTGTCTTCAGGATTGAAGTAAAACGTTTTGTGGTCTGATATGTTGGTTTGAGAAATTTTAGTGTTGCATGAATCGCCTCCGAAAAAAGAAACGAGAAGAAATTTGACCAATATTAAGAAGACTTACATAAACCCTCAGGATGTCACTATGGCGTCACGCACAAATAATATATTGTGCAAAAAGTTTAAAACACATGAAACTTGCGGCCGTAAATGCCAAAGTAGCAGGGTTACAATACAAGGTATGTCCTTCCTGGAAAATAGGGCCAAGTACTGTTGAATCCATAAAAGGGTGCACTATTCAGGGATCGACTTGGGCCGGTTCATGGGGCGTGTCATTGTTTGCGGTCCATAACTCAAGTAAGATGGGCTAGCTCCTATACTATGGGTGGGCTTAACTAGTAGGAGTGTGCTATCCACACATCCCATTTTACTTCTCACACACCCCTTGATAATTTATTTCCGTTAATCTTCTTCAATTCATCCGATCAGACGATTGAAAATTAAAAATATTTGTGACAAGTAAAATGGGGTGTGTGGATATCACACCCCAACTAGTATTGCCCTCTAATTGATTTTTTTTTTCCGCACCTCTAATTCTTTTTTTATTGTATAAAGTTAATATTAAGGTGGAGAAATTTTTTTGAATAGAAAACAAAACAAGAAGAGAAAATCGAACTTATGACTATAGATGCAAGGATAAACACTGTAACTCCACTAGTTTTTTTTCCCTATAATAAGTATTGACTTGTACTACGTTGTTTTTATAAACGATATTTAATTTTAAACTTACCATAATTACGATCGATTTTCAACTAATCTAAATTGTTAAGAAGTATTCAAACTTATATGCTAGAGGACACCACATTCATCCAAGCTAATATGAATGACTTTAAAAACTAAAGGAAGCCAAATTTTAGATTTTAGTTTTCATGGTATCTACTTTGAGTTTTCAATTTAAAAAAAAAACAAATGGAAATAAGAAAACTGAAATTAGTTACCAAACAAGTTTCAAATTTCGATTTAATAAAAAAATGAAAAATTAAATTGTGTTCAAATGACCCATAAAACTTATGTTCCTCTTGAGCTATGGTTTGGCTTTACCCTATAAGAGAGAAGAAGAGGCACATCATGCAGGAGAGGAGAAAGAGAGAGAGAGAGAAGGCAACAGACTAAAGGCAGAAGGAGGAGTTAGAATAGAGTGGAGACAAAGTAATGAAGTGAATAAAAAAAACTAATGAAAATGACTTGAAAACTTTGAGTTTTAATAATAATGACAAAATCAAGAGTAAAGTGAATATTACCATGATTGACTTTTTAGTGTAAAAATGTGGTTATTCGTTAAAGTGAACAGTACATAGAGCTTTTCGTTAAAGTTCTCTAAAAAAAATTAAAAAGGGTAATGGATGGAGTGGAGATGAAAGAACTCGTCTGTTCTAGAGGGTGGTGGAGTGGTTTTTTATTTTAAAATTGTTGATTAGTAATAAAATATTGTATTGTGAAAAAGGAAATTAATTTTTTAATAATAAAAAAAGGAATTCTGGAACAAAATGAGAGATTTTTCAATATAACCGGAACATCGGGTAGTACATTATATGTCACTATACGAATGGTGGGATATATGTATTAAAAAGTTAATAACTTAAAAAATAAATTTCTTATCATTTATATAAAAATATATAATGTGTTCCGACCACAATAAAAAATTTATCGAACAAAACAACTCTTGGATTCTCGAAGGTTGTATTGTGAAAAAGGAAATGAAATTTTTAATAATAAAAGAAGGAATCCAATGGACAAAAGAAAAGAACCCGCATTTTCCAGAGGGTTGGTGTGGTTTCTTCTCTTTTTTTTATTTTTTATATTTTTTAATAAACGAAATTATTTATATTAAAGAAGAGGGAATATAAATAATCTCATAATAGACTAGTAGTAATGTGATTCAAATTTATTTTTAACGAGAATCGAATATAAGACATCCACTTATAAGGAAAGAAAATATCATTAAATTGTAGTATTAAATGACTTTCTTTTTTTATTAAATCATTTGCTTTCAAACAAAAAAAAATCAGTCTCTCTCTTTTCTCTCGCTCACCCCTCTTTTCTCTCACTTTTAGACTTAGTTTTCAAACCTAGCACAATAGCCCCCACAGCCGCGACCTCCATTCTTCCTTCCTTCATTACCATCGTGAGACTCTTTAGATGACAATTATCTTTCTCTCACTCTGTCGTCATCCAAAAATCGAGAACCGATCCAAATCAATCCGTCATTGTTGGTTAAACGACATGAATGGCTTTAGTCCCGACTTGATTGGCTTCGGTTTGCAATTTTAGCTTAATTGATTAGGTCAGTTTGATTTTATTTCGGCCCAAAACCGACCTAACTCAACCTGCGCCCACCCCTAGTCAAAAGGTAGCATTTGTATACAAATAAATGGTATGAAAAAAGAGAAACATACGTCAAGAAAGTCTTCCAAATTATAGGAAACTGCTTGAGTAGTCTTTCTTTATTGGCAAGTGGCAACGACGTCGACGTTGGCAGGGAATTTTTTAAAATCTGTCTAAATTTCTAATTATTGTCCTATGCCACCAACACCTGACCTTGACTTCGAGTGGTCTTTCTTTACTGTAAAACTCACCTTCTGCCTCTTAAACGAGACCTTGACTTCGAGTGGTATTTCTTTACTGTAAAACTCACCTTCTGCCCCTTAAACGAGAAAAGTATCCTAGTCGGATCTTTTCGTAGGAATCCTACGAATTAAGTGATCTTATCCGTTTATCGTATATCGTACGGTTAGTTTTCGTTATATACTATTCAAATTTAATTTTAAATTTTAAAATACTTTCTAACCATACGATATACGAAAAACAGATGAAATCACAGAATCCTTAAAAAAAAGAATCCGACCAGAATCTCTTTCATTTGTATTCACAATCAATTTGAATATAATCATACCGTCACTACGCACCACAAATTATATTATACTGCTTGAGTAGTCTTTCTTTATTGGCAAGTGGCACCTCGACGTCGACGGGAAATCTTATAAAATCTTTCTAAATTTCTGATGATTGTCCTATGCCACCCACCCTTGACCTTGACTTACAGTAATCTTTCTTTACTGTAAAACCCTCATCTTTGGCCATTTAAACGCATATTCACTATCAATTTGTATACAATCATACCTTCACTACGCACCACAATCATTGTACTCTGCTAACATGGCTGAGCTTGCCTTTGAATTGGCAGTCAGAGTCACGGAGAAGCTAGGCTCCCTTGCTTACGACGAGATTTGCTTGGCATGGGGGGTAAAATCCGATCTGAGAAAGCTTGCGGACACCATGTCCACAATTGAAGGCGTGCTCTTGGATGCTGAAGAGAAGCAAGCGAATAACAAGCAGCTACGCAGTTGGCTCAGACAAGTTAAAATGTGTTTCTTGATGCCGAGGATGTGTTGGATGAGTTTGACTGTGAAGATCTGCAAAAGCAAGTGGTGGAAAAGTTTCATGGTACATGTGGAAAGGTACGTCTATTCTTCTCCCCGTCTAATCCAATTGCATTCCGTTTCAGAGTGGCTCATGAAATCAAAGAGTTAAGGGAGAGGTTAGAAGAGCTTAAAGCCAATAGGTCTATCTTTGATTCTCTCACTAGTCATAGTAAAGGTTACCATGATGACCATGATAGCAATCTGAAGCACATGATCAAGGCGAGAGAGACACACTCTTTCGTCCGTGCTTCGGATGTTGTTGGTAGACGGTTTGAGAAAGAAGAGCTAGTAGATCGTTTGATTGAGCAAGGTGACGATCATGTCTCAGTTATTCCTGTAGTTGGAATTG